CGCGGCACCGACACTGCTCACATCCGCTCTCGGAGACCAACGGCCGAAAACTGACAGATGCGCGCGGCTTGCGCGCGGCCTTCAAACCGCAAACGGCCGATCTCGTTTCTGATTGGCTGATTGTTTCCATTTCAAATATCATCTTCACGAGGGTAAACAAGATCCACGCATGAAACGACTATCTGTACCCGAGTCACGATACCCAGGAGGAAAGAGTTTTCGTGATGTTCTGGATCGCGAGAGTAATAATGATATTTACATGGTAATAATACCTACACTTCGCTGGCGAATAAGTTCATATTAACCACGTACCGTTACTATGCACATAATGGTAGCAGCGAGTTACCCTTTCAATATACTATTATCTTGCGGGTTTGATGAAAATGAACTCTCCAGGAGGTAGTAAAAAAGTTTTGAGTGCAGGGATTTGCTTGCCAATAGCAGGAGCCTTTGAAATAGGCAGGTCAAGGTCCAAGGATTTGTTCCTAGAGGTCAAGGATTTCAAGGATTGTACATCGTTGGTCAAGGATTTGTTTCCTTTATACATTGTGTTTACTGTTTGCTACTATTTTGCCGCACCAACTAGTTTTCTCTTTCATTAAGTATTAACGTTGACTTGCATTTTAACATTTTCTTCTGACCCAGTCTTTCTTATAAGCATTTATGACTGACGACTCTGGTAGATGCTTGCATACTCCTGATCCGTTTAATATAAGATTTGCTCCTAGGTAATGGTCAATGAACTGTGGTAATGGTCCTCACATCCATGCTCGAACAGCCCTCCAGTTGAAGATTGATATCTTCTATTCACAGCTCACGGATTAGGGCTAACATTTGACAACTCAATGCCCAAGGCTCACTGCAAATGGCTCGCCAGTCACAGGTGATTTGGGTTCACTACCATTGTTGTTAGGCAGGCACTCGTGTGAAATAAGAAGCAATAAAGGGTGGACGAGGAATGGTGGCCAGTGGACGGTCGACGATTGAAGTGACTGAAATTCTAACAAAATTTATTTAATGCAGCCCATTTACAATGATAACTCATCTCAAGGTAGCTGAGTTGCATTGACGTGAAGACCCCCAACTGCTTTGATTAGTTCTGTGGCAAGTGTAAGAGTGGTCCAAATTGGATTAGGAGCACGCGCGAAGGCGGCTATCGCGAAGTGGATGGTCACGGGTGTGTGTTGAACATGCATACCGTTGGGCTGGTCGATTCGTTTATTACGTCGTGCGGAGGCAGCCGTGGAGTGGTAAGCCACATGGCAATGTGGCCAAGTGGGTCCATGCCTGTAATCATATTTCTTGCAGCGCAATCAATGTTGAAACGCAGAGTACAGCACAGCTGCGGCGATGCATTTAACAATTGAGCAAAAGCATTGGTATTAGCAGCTCTGTCGCAGGGCTCGGCCGTACATACTGTCAAAGTAGTGCGTGTAGCTAATAATCGCGATGTTTATACCGGCTGTAAACTGTCAGCGTTTGAGTGCCCTGATGTCATTTGAACTCACATCGCATGTGATTTCTATAACCCGGGTGAAATTAGCTGATTCATATGCATATAAGCATGCATGTAATGAATGCGTCCTACTGCAAGAGTTGAGTTTGACATAACTCAAAGCAAATTCAGGTACCCATATGTTACGCAAAAAAACTATATAAGATAAGACCCTATTCACAAAAACAACCGCAGGTCACTTCCCGTTTCATAATGAAAAGCGCCAGACGCACTTGATCAATTTTCGGTGCGAAGGCTTGTGAGCACATAAGCCTTACAGCAAAACCTTTTTAATTCTCTTTTGACTCCATCACCATTCAGGACTGCCGTCATCAGGTAATGTATTTGCCCGGTGGCAGACTCTCTGGCGCTCAAAGGCGCGGCACAAAACCGTCACAGCCGCTCCTAAGTGGGTCGGTCCGCATCGCTAGATCGGTCAGCGCGCCGGCGGCAGCGGCGAACGCCGGTCTCTCGGCGGCGCTGTTTTGCGCCGGCCACCGAGCGGCCAATCTATTTCTGAGTGTGTCGCTCCGGCCAGAGAAGGTAATGGTCGCTGGTCTGTCCGGCCGCGCCGCTCGGGGGACAACAGCCCACGCTGCGGGTGTGGCTGCAGACGCAGACGGCACCCGGATTCGTATCTATAGAGATGGGGAAATGGGGGCTTAGGTGGGGCAGAGAGGGAAAGAGGGAGGAGGGAGGTGCGGTATCGCCACGCAGAGGAAAGGAGCTGCACGATGATGTGATCAGGAGGTGCGACTGCATGGGGTGTCGCAGTCAGGCAAATAGGTGACAGTGTCGATCATTGAGAGATACACTGCGCAATTTAATAAAGCTAAAGTTTGAAATGGTTCATATATTCCATACTTGCAAAGCTCAGGACGAGTTGAAACGGCTGTTGTGTTTTCTCTTGGGTCATCGAGATCCAGCAAAACAAATGACCGGGGTATATCAATCTAGTGGTGTCCCATCTGGGACGATGGCTGTGCAGCTGTGGCCCCGGCCGCTGCCGGGGGGATGGCTGTCTGGAAACTGTCCGGCCAGAAATCCCCATCAGGCAGCTGTGATCAGAATCTTACCTTATTGTTTCGTGAAGCGAGCACTATTGAATATCCAGCATGAAGTTTTTCAACTCAAAGCTGTTGACACTTGACAGTGATATGAATTATTCAGTGTCTCTACTACAAACAATTATAGCTTGAACGGCCATCACAGCTACACTTCTCACATGCCAACTTGAATGATTTTTTACTCTTATTGCTTCCTTTTGCGCAATGCTACGGTATGTTCAGAAATTGATGATCATGTGTTGAACGGCCAGACGTTTATCTACAGCAAGCATAGACATTGGCGCCTTATTTTATCTCAGTCAGTTAACCCTATTCCTGGCGGGCTCCGCCGGGACAAGAAACTGGCGGGGGGGGGGCCGATTCGGCCCCCCCCCTGAGATCTCGAGAACGAAGCAAGATAGCGACAAGCGGTAAACGGCATCGGATACGCACGGCCAAGATCTACAATTTTTACTAAGGTCATTTTCAGGTCAGGTCAAAGATGACGTCACAGGGGTCGAAAAAGTCAAAATGGCGGCACTAGATATGGAGAGAGTTTTTCTCGAATAACTTTCGAATTAGTCAAGATAGGAACAAACTAAGGGCATCATCGTGATCCTCTCGTCAATCCGCATCGAATGATATATATGTTGACCTCGAAAGGTCAAGGTCAAAGGTTGACCTCAGGTCACGTGACCTCGAGGTCATCATGTATATCATTCGATGCGTCTTGACGAGCTGAACACAATGAGACCATCCACGCGTCTGTATCTTGTTCCTGTACGGAGTTATTGGCCAAAAACCTTTGGTGACCTTTGATGACGTCACATGACCTCACAGCTGCCCAACAGCAAAACAGACCTCAAGGTAGTAAAGGTTGATCGTATATGAAGTCATGTATGGTATATGGGGCCATTCCGACCCGTTTTAGTGGTAAAAACAGGGAGTTGATTTTTCCCCCATTGACTTATAATGGGGAGGTCGCGAAATTGACCTGACCTTAGGTCACCGATATCAAAATTCCGAGATATACAAATTGCACATACTGGTACCCTAACTTAACCCTGAAGAGAAGAAATTGATCGGTCAAAAACTCTAGCTCTGGCGTGATTGCAAACTTTTCTGAGGTAGCGTCACCAAACCGCCTCTGGTGACCTGACCTGAGGTCAGATCAACTCAAAATTTTCAGACATGTTGCGTAGAAGCCTTTTAGGAAAATTCAGAAAATTTGAGCTTCCTAGCTCAACGCGTTTGGGAGATATAACCAAAAAACCTCAGGGGGGGGGCTCCTGAGGCCCCCCCCCCCGCCAGGAATAGGGTTAATCGGTCAAAGTGGTGATAATGTCCATCTTCCAATCATTTCCACCGCCCCAGCTTCCCCGTGTGAGGTGACCTGCAGCACCGCGCCAGGACCATGGGCCGTCAAACTCGACCAGAAATGACCCGTGCCGACCCACGGACGCTTCCACGATTTCCTCCAGGGCTTCGATAGGCCGCCATCCCGATCAATGTCCTAACTTTCTGTCCCCAGGGCACCCCAGTCCGACTTGAGATCCAGAGAGGAACTCCCAAACGGACCCTACCGACCGGTGCGCCGCCACTGGCACCCAAACAGGACACTAGATAATTGGTTGTGTCTATTTGAAACAAGGGCTTAGTGCAGCTAAGACGTTCATTTCGGCACCGTAATCCTCTGCGTTGGTCGGGTGCCAGACAGGGGCTCTCAGCTCCCTGCTGGTGAGCGACTCTTCTCGGCTCCCAGATTAGCGACCTCCAAACAGCTTCAGACCGAATAATTTTCTAAATCGCCCAAACTTTCTGGTCCGCTGCCAGCGGGTGAGATAAATTCCGACGCAGCCCTTTCGTTAGCCAGACTCGTCGTCACACTTTCATGGTCGATTGACGACTCCTCACTCTCAGGGTCACTGGGGAGTAACATCACATGGCGCGTTTTACATTTGGTGAACGCCGAGCCCGACGATCCCCTCAGCGACCCGCATAAAACGCTGCGGCCGGCGACTGCTGCGGCCCACCGGGGCGGCCGGTGCATATTCGGAACCGGAGCGATGGTAGCAAGAGGTCGGCTTTACTGCCGACCGCCGGCTCGTAATTCGTGATATAGTCGTCGACGCCGAGTTAATGGCCCAACTGGCGACGACGGCGCCGGCTTCGGGTCGGCCCGATTGACGGCCCCGCCCCGGGACCAGGTGCACGCGGTGGCACGTGCAGGGGTGTCACACGGGTACAGTCGACGTGCACTGGTCCCACCGCCGCCAACAGGACTCAGCCCGGAACTCTTATCAGCTTGCAGAAACAATGACCCGTTCTAAACGATTACAACCTACTTCACGTATGAAGACCATTTTTGGTCTGTTCTTTGAGCCTGGCAAATTCACCCAAAGTTTGTTCAATCAGCAAAGATATGCCAAAATGTTCACCAGAGTCCATTTTTCTTGCAGGGTTACAATGAGCTGGCTGCTGACTGTCTGCTTGTCTGCCTCACTCTTCATGGCCGGTGACAGTGAACTCGGTAAGAGTGCCATTTTAATCTTATTTATACCTCCTGTGATGTGATGGATGTTTTGAATATGAAAACACAATGCTCCAGTTTTGTGTTTGAAACAAGCGACGTTGTTGAATATGTGATCAATACTTGACTTGCATATAAGCTAAGAGCTTTGTTGCTAATGGCTTTACAATTTATTACAGTTTACGATAAGCTTTGACTGCACTGTGTAATGTACTTGCCGTGACTCAGCATAATGAACAGCACTTACTATTTAAAGGTGATACACAACCCTATGTATCACAAGACGCTGGGAGGTGTTCTAGGACTGCACATCACAGCAAATAATGTGTTCGCTGTTTACTGGCGCGTTTAATGCCTCAATCCGAATTCTCTGTAGCGTGAACGTTTCGAATGCGCTTCTGCCACTTCACTGGTTGGTTCGGGTAGAGTCCCGAAACGCCAGAGGACACAGCACTTGTAACGTGCATAGCTCCCACGGCTGTTATTGGTGAGCTGTGGCGCCGAGGAATCAGTGAGCTTTATCGCAGCTCGCAGGAGCAGGTTTGGCACTTACGAAATCCCAGTCACCGGACTGCTTTTCGAATGTTGCGCAGTTTTCTTTCACTCAGGTATGTGTGTGTGCAGCAAAGATAAGAAGAAGAGGCGCATTTAGCGTTCTGAGGAGATTTGATGCTACCTTTTCAAACATTGAATCGATGTTAAACTGTTGGTTCCAGAAATGTGTGCATCTTTTTTTGTAGCAACAGTATTTCACACAAGCAATTACTAAGACACCAAATGCATTACACTATCATGAAAATACTCGTTTTTATTTACTTGGGTAAGATGCCCAGAATCACTAACGAGCAAAGGCTTACGATTTGCAGCACATACCTTTGTTAGATATGAATCAATGGCCTACAGAATGCAAGCTTATAGCGTAGAATTATGAAAAGATGGCTCAACATGTCCAACTTTTGCAAGCTCAATGTGGCAGGGGGATAATTCATTGTACGTTTAAGCTGCTCAATTATAGGATGGTTGAGAGGGTCTGAAAGTCTCAAGCGATAACTGTCGTTGTTTGGCATCAACATAACTATATTGTAAGGCCAATGACCACCATTAAATTATAGGTGCACTCTTGCTGGGGAGGGGGGGGGGCGGTTGATCAAACGTTGCAAAGAGGCTCAGGTGCTTGAAAACGTGTCATAATAATATATGTAGATAATTATAGTCGAGAGTCACGAATAAAGCCAAATGTCTAAGTTCAGTCCAGTTTAGTTCGGTATATTTGTTAACCAAGGATAGGAGCAGCAACGAAGAAAAAATCGGGGATTGGCGTAAAAGCAAAATAAGTACACATATACAGGCACGGGTGGAGCTTTTCCAAGGACGTTCGTGGGGCAAAAAGTCGTCAAACCTACAATGCCCGATTGTCAAGTTCAATAAAATGCCACATAGAATCAAGTCCAGTCATTGCAGATAGAGCATTTGGCATTACATAGACATTCAAAAGAACTCCTCGATGCAAAAAAAAGATTGATTTGAAAAGCATCGAAGTTCTGCAAATCAGCCAAAGTTGGTGGGGATAAACACTTATTGGTGGGGCAAAATGGCAAGTTGGTGGGGGCAGCCACCCCACCAACTGTATAGGAAGCTCGGCCTCTGTGTACAGGACATTAATGGATGACGGTACACTTCCAAATGAAATAAAGGCCTATGAGCAATTTTTAGAGAGTGTTTCATCATATACTGTTAATTATGATGGGTGCAATTAGTTCAACGCGATGATGTTCAAGAAATCGATAGCCATTTATTCAGTACATACATGCCAATAGCTCAACAATAGGATACAAAAGACCACATCTTCATTTCATACGAAGCTTTCCTTGACATACTTCCAACCGGTGTCTTTTTGATTTCGTATTACATCTCGTTACATGAAAATGCGACTCCTTTTTCCTCGGAGCAGCCTTCTCACAGCTCACTCGTATACACGGCGCTAGCTCAGCCGAAAGCTTTTGCGCGGTTACCTGGAGCGTAGGCTGTGCCGGAGTATAGTCGTGTATTGCGGCACAGTCTAACCTCTGAACGACCGTCGCAAACGGAGGCTTCTCGCCACGGCTTACGTGTTGCACACAATGCATATTTTATTTTTCGCGATAAGTATGGAATGCTCATTGCTCAAAGAAGTTATAGTGCTGAAGCCTGAAGGTTAAAAAGGGGAATACTCGTAAGTCAATTGAAAAAATATTCATCATCGCATAAAGTAACAAAGGTGATTCTGATGCTGACCAAAAATCTGATAGCCGCTGCTCAAAATGAATTTAGTCAAACATGACCTCGAGAGGCCGGATTAGCGAGAAAATATAGCTACTTGACTTTCAAGCATCATCTCTATCCAGTATTTACTCTCACGTATCCCTACAGCACCGCCAGAAGCCCCACGACACCCCAGTTGCGTGGGTATAGTGCGGTCGGCTGTCCGATACGGCCCCTCAGCTGCGTGGGTTTTGGCCGGCTGTCCGATACGATCCGCGCCAAGTGCGGCCGGCTGGGCGAGAGCGGCACTGTCAGTAGGCTGTAAAGCCAAACCCCGAGCTGTCACAACTCCACTGCTGCCCCGATAAGCCGGCTGCAACAGCTCGTCTCTCTCATCCGGCGCCGGCCACGTCAGTCAGTCTGGCACGGACCGAGACAAAATCACCCGGCCGTGGCGTCCGTCTCTGACCTGCTCAGAGACCTGCCCCCCTCCCACCCGGAGACAACACCGGCTGGGAGCGCGTGTTATTGAACGCGCCGTTCCATCGGGCCCGGATTGCGGCCGTTTGATTGGTGACCGTGTCGGGAGGCGGCGATAGCGTCCAACGGATCGGCCAGCTGCGACCGCGGCGACCCGTCTCCGGGCCGCGCCGCTATATGGGCCCGCTCCGATATATAGCTGCTAACCGGCAGACATCGGGCGATGACGGAACTGAGCCGGCCGCCTCAGCACTTCGCCAGGGCTGTTAATTTTTATGTAAATCATGGCTTAATACTGAAGTGAAATGGTCTCAGTTATTTTAAATTATGGCGATAAATTATCAGAAATACATGACAGATAATCGCTATTCGACTTGGATGTAGAATAATGCGTTCTTTAATCACTGATCACTTGCATTCTTGCACACAACGCGTCATCACATGAAGAAATTCACCACATCCTCGTTCGGTCAAACCCACCGTCAAAGGCGCCATGAGCAGCTCTATCCCAGTGAGTCGCGGTCGATGGGAGACCATCCATACGTTTCTAGTTCATCAGACCGCGGCCAGTCAAACGAATGACTGTTGCTCGCCGGTCATTCAGCGAATGTCCGCCGCGACTGACTGCATCATCAGCCAAATTTGAGGGACGTGAGCTGACTCTGTAGGCGCGGAGTTAGGTGGAAAGTGGCGGCCATTGGCATGTGACGGTTTTGTGGGTGGCGGTGGAAGGGAAACGTGGATGTATTTTTTAGTGATACTTTTCCATTGCGGTGATGTAATCAAATTAAATTATTTGTGTTTTACACAGTTGACTGATCTAACTGATATGACAGGTCAAGATGTGAATGTCGTAGACGGTGAAGGGCTTACATTGTTATGTAAGTCCATCATCTTTTATTCTCCGTTTCTCTGCTTGGGAAATGTGGGGAATGGAAATGAAATATAAAGAGAAATGGGAAATATCCTATGTTGTAACTTCATTAGTTGGAACTTGGCAGACTTAAGAAGCAAAAACGGGATGCGCACAACGAATGAATTGTGAATCTTTGTAAATACAGAAAAATAAAAACGTTTTGCTGAGCTCGTGTAACTGGCATTCGCCTATGGGCCGCAATAAGTCTATTGCATGCTTAGGTGTCGTTGATTTTGCCATTAATTAGGAAGCGCTTCATTTTGCGGAAAACATGGTTATTAGGCTGCAACGTTGCTGGTTGCATTGATGCTGATCACAATGCACATTTGACAATGTTAGCATTCAAAGCACTCTAGAGAAATAATTAATTCAAATATAGGCAGACCTTTCCTTTAACCCGGCACCGCCTGGGCTATTTCCGTACCCACATCAGCCTGGGGGGGGGGTCGGATCCGACCCCCCCCCCTGTTATCTCGAGAACCAATGGTCGTATCGAGCCCCGCGAGGCGGCGTTCGAAAGGTTTCTACGAGACCTTCCCAAAGCACTCTTAAGATTTTAAGATTGAGGTCAACTTTCGGGTCAAGGTCAGGTCAAAGGTCAAATTCAGGGGTTTTGCATGATTAGGCTTACGGACAGCGGAATCGATAGCTGCTGCTCGAAACTCACCACAAATGACCTCAAAGACCTAGTGAAGGTACCATGTGCGTACAGGGGTCATACTAAGTACGGGTCAAGGTCAGGTCAGGTCACGAAAGGTCACGGTTTTCACTTTCTGCTACATGGGCGTGCGACACATGTTTTATGGCTTATTTTTCACGCCAAATCCGATGGTAATGGTTATATGTGACCCCAAGTCACTGTGCTGGTGATAAGTGTGCATTGAAAGCATAAAAAAAATCGTTTATACCATACATAACTAAACGAGGGCTAAGAAAAAAAGTCAATTTTTCAACTTTTTATTTTTGACATAAAAATGCACTTTTCTAGACGAGCTTTGTCCCAGGAATCTAGTGGTGCCATTTGTTTTCACATGCGATGTTCAGAAGTGCCTCTAATTCGCGAAAATTCTTATGACGTCACCATGCCCTATGCATGTTGGAGCTATTTTTTACAATTTGGGGGTCAAAAATCAAGATAGAAAGTTGAAATTTGGGATATCTAATGTTCTAATAGAGCTCTATAACATATATTCCGGTTTTTTGGAAATTCTCAAAATTTTGGATTTTATTAGCTGTTTTCCAAAAAATATAGTTTTTTTGAAATTTTAGGGGTGAAAAACGCATTTTATGAAAAATCCGAGATAGCCATTTTAAAGAACTCGTTGAGCTGCGTCTTTTCATGTCCTTAATTTGCAATTTGCTTAAAACCTCGATTTTTGGCGATTTTTTAAACATTTACCATTTTTTGACTGAAAACGCCATGTAGTTACATCACTAAAATCGATATATCTCAGAAATTTTTGAAAAATGTTTCTTAAAAATTGCACAGGAGACGTCAAATTGATGGGGGAGAAGGTATGCGAAGTTTCAAGTTGATAGCGCAAGCGGTTCATGAGTTATTCAAGAAAAACGGAGGGGGGGGTCGGATCCGACCCCCCCCAGGCGGTCGCGGGTTAATTAGTAGGCCAAAGCGGTTATAACACCGCAGCTGTGGCTTGGTATAAACAATGTGGGAAGCCAATAACGGTGTTCATTACTTACAGACGCCGCATGATTCTGGCTAGCATAGCTAGGTACCCAACGCCAGAATATTTTACCTGCAGGCATTTTCTCTAGCCCTCGCCCGCACATCCCATTTTCCCATCCTAGAACGCACATGGGGGGGGGGGGTGGTTGCCACCCCCCCCCCCCGCGCCATTTCGTTCCTGTTGGAGATAGAGCTTAGCGGTAAAGACCAAAAAGATTCTTTGGGAAGAGACGAATCCAATGATACCCAGTTTTACCTTCTCAGGTCAGTCATTGACCTTCCAGGTCAGGTCAAACTAAAAAATGTTGCTGTTTTGGGTCACCGTTGGATATCAAGTGCGCTGTTTATCATATACCGATGACGATGCCGTTTTCTGGTGCCAAGCCAGCTAGAACCTCTTTGTCACACTACCCGACCAGGTTTTTGCTGCTGAGGTCATTTCAGGTCAAGCTAGGTCAAGGTCAATTATATGTGTTTGTTTGTCTGTGTGTGTCTGTGTGTATACTGATGTGTACACCGATTGTTTATGTGTCCATATTACATGAAATCATGATCTGAGAAGCTTTTACCAAAAATGCAGTCAAAAAACTTCACAAAAAGTAAATTCCGCTTGCCTAAAACGCAATTATCTTAGATGACCTAGGTTGACCTTGACCTTGACCTTGACATCTGTACATCGTCGAACAACATGTTCCATGATAGGTGGGAGGTAAGACTGGCCAAAAAGGCCGAAATCAAGGCGTCAAAAGCTCACAAGGCCCATAGCCAACGCAAGATGTTGAGAATTGACCATTTGGGTCATGACATGACCTCAAAAACAAGGTCATATCTCCGAAACCACAAACCACAGAAACTTGACATTTTCAGTGGAGATCAAGAAAGGATAGAGGAGCAGCTATACAAAAAATCAGCCTTCTAGCTCTAAAAATGTTGAGTGCAGAGCAGAAAGACTACCTGGGGGGGGGTGGCAACCCCCCCCCCCATGTGCGGGCGAGGGCTAGTCAGCCAAAAGCTGCTCGGTAAAAGTTTCACAAAAACTGCCTAAATTCGCCCGTCTCCGAGTCTGACCCAACGAGTCGAGCGGAGTGTTCCGATTGGCCCCCGGCTGACAAGACAGCTCTGTGACCAACCTGTTTACATTGGCGGAGACACCGCCGATCGTGTCAACACACCACCGTCTCCTCACTTATCGCTGTTTTTCCTCCTCGATACCGCCATTCTCCGGTGAGACCGTGCAGAGTGGCGTGCCCTTCTATCGACTTTCGGCCGTCCCCGGGGCGGTCATTATTAGTGGAGCGAGCCGTCGGGCCCAGGGGAAGGGTAGTTCAGCTGCATGGCGGCGGCGCGTGTGTGAAACGAGACGGAAACGGCGCGGTGGCGGCGGGCGGCGCGGGAAGGGAGGGGTGGCGGGGCCAGTAGTGGAGGGCAATCTAGCGAAAGGGTGCCATCGCTCTATCAACGACGTCCACACTCGCCGCCGGTTATGGAGGCGGACGCTGATGGGATACGGGAGGCGCGGCTCGATCGGTGGGACGGGCTTATGTGTCGTCCACCGCCCACCGTCTTTTATCTGCTGCACACTGTCCACCAGTTCATCCTCATCTTTGTATTGTCTTATTTATTTCGTTTCTCCCTATCTCTCGATCGTTTCATTCTTTGGGCTGTCGCTCCTCGTGTTCCTGGCTAGCTCGGTAACTACGCTGCTCTCTCTCTCTCTCTCTCTCTCTCTCTCTCTCTCTCTCCTCTCTCTCTCTCTCTCTCTCTCTCTCTCTCTCTCTCTCTCTCTCTCTCTCTCTCTCTCTCTCTCTCTCTCTCTCTCTCTTTCTATTTATCTCTCTTCTTTTACTCCCTCTCCTCCCGTTCCGGGCTGTTTGTTCCCACTCGGTCACTCTTTATGTGCGTTACTTAGACGCAGTTGATACCTTATTCATGAGCTGAGTAGTTTACGCCTCTGTGAGTCAGACCCCGTCAGCAGAATCAGCGTCCCGGCCGCGCTCAGCAAAGTCCCAGCGGCTCGGACGGAAAATGACACGAAATCTGGATAATTTGTGACACTGTCTCAGCACCATTATTGCGGCTCGGAGGCTGATGAGCGAAAAATGGCCACTAACGGGCGACTCGACACGCCAAAGACCACCGAAATGAAGCGGGATAAGGTTTTTGCTGAGGATTGTGAAAGTACGCAGTGAAAAGCTTACGCTTGGATAAAGCCAGCGGGAAGAGCTGGATGGAAGGAAACGAACGTGTTTGGTGGTAAAACAAGACACGCAGATTTTTGAAACAGCAGCGTAAAAAGGTTACGGATATTGTGTGCAACACGAATTTTAAATATTTTACATCATTGTGTGCCGGGTGCCCTGCTAAGAAGAGAAATTGAATGTTACCCTTCTGACCCAGGCCGCTGTCTCAGCCTATCCACCCTCTCTCTCCGTGTGTTCCAGGTCATTCTCACGGGTACGGGGTGTACCACCACCACGCGCACTACTCGTACGAGCCGATACCGGGCGGCAACAACTACAACACCACCGTGCTGGAGGGCGACGAGGCGGTGCTCAGGTGTCGGCTGAAGGAGCCCGCCGGCAGGAAGGTGAGACCATCCGACCGGGAGAATGATAGTTAAAGTCAAAGTCAAAGTTTGAGGACAGTAATTTCCCCATACTCAATGCACGTAATAGCCACTAGTTACATGTTGCGGATGTGTCTCTCGATATAAAGTAAATAAAAGTAAGGTATATACTTATGTCGCAATGGTACAGTCAATGCCATAAGCACCGGTATGAGTCCTATCTTTATATTTTCATACCTACCAGTGATTAAACTAAATAGTAATGTAATGCAAATGCATGCAATGATTAATACCAAGGCACATAAATGGAGAGTCTCCGCTGAATCAAGCTGCATCACGATAGCTAGGTTTGATGCACTTAATGGTACTTTAATTAGAATCAGGCAGCCATGCCGCAGGACGTCACTTACATCAGAATGAATTTAAGTAGCATGCGCAACTTTTGCAGAGTTGTGTACAGCAAAGCCGCATGAGGCGGCTGGAAACCATCAAATTTTCAGCGTCTGAATCTTACATGAGTATTGATCGGGATTAAAAATATGGACGCTTACTGTTTCGAATTTCGATAGTGTGATTTCCAGCATCAATCAATAAATGCCAACCTCATCACTCAAATGGTCAACAGTACTTTACACCTCCCACAAAACCGCGATCGTCCTGTTGATTTCAAAGTTGCAGCGAGACACAGCAAACTATCAGACCACAGCGCAATGAAAGCTTGACGACAGCGACGTTCAATTTATTCATTGGAAAGCCGCTGCACAATTTACTGTAGCGGTACACCAATATCATTTGGTTGCCGCGACCTCCGTGTGCCGAATGGCCTCCCTAGGGGAAGGCGACTTCCGGACGTTCGATTGCACGAAGTACACGAGTCCAATCCAGGGCTTCAGGAATCCAGGAAAGATACGTTTGCGCATCACGGAATTCCGAAATGCCGGAAGCTCTGCACTCCGGTCGTCTGTCCGCTGGTTATACCGGAGTGTTGCGCAGCACGACACCCAGGAGTGATGCACGCTCTGCCCCTCTGACCGTCAATGTTCCGGTCAGTGGGTGCTGCCGGAACAGTGACCGCGGGCCGGCCGGGGCCGTCACCGACCGATTTACCGACCAATCTGACGCCACCATAGCCGGCGCCCCTAGCTCCGCCGCCGGCCCGCTGGTGGCTGCCGGTGCCGGCCCTAACGCCGTGTCATTGGATGCCAAACGACTTCTAAATGTCCTAATCCTACAGCTGGGTATGGATGACCCTCGCGGGTGAGCGAACCCTATTGGAATGCCCACCACGGGGTCAATGGCTTTGTTATATGTGTGCCAGATAAAGCTTACGTTTGCGACTATCCAGGAAACATAGGCATTTGAAATATTTAGAGCTCAGATAGGTCAGGGTAACCGCTCATGATAGCTGATGCTGATCGAAGCCAGAGGCTACAAGAGGCACTGATCAAAACTCATGTCAATCATTTTAGTCAAAGTTCGCTGTTATTGTGATGAATACGACTCTTAAAGAACAGCCTAACATGGCCAACACATTGTGGCTTAGTTCAAAAGGGATGGAAGGTCATTAGGATTGAGCTGAATGCCAACAGCAATTCTGAATGTGTTTCAGCTAAACTGCATGAAGTGGTATTCATTGCTTGAATAATGAACAATATCACGAACTGAGAGTCTCAGGTAGCTAGAAAACGCGATATTTTGATGGAAATGATTGCGGCGGACTTCTATATGCACAAATTATTACATCCCGTCAGGTATGGAGAATAATTGCACGTTAGTTGTTGATAAACTTTACAATTATATCTTTAAAAAAAAAAAAATTATTGCTGTTTTAATTCGTATTGCTATGCTAGGGTGGAGATGTCTATAGCAGGGCCAAGCGTTAGCACGACGACCTCACCGCAACCTGCAACAGTCAAAGTTTACATTACCCAAGTCCCGACATTACCCGTTCCACACCACGGTATGAAATTTGTCTGACAGTTTAATAAGAGCCGAGTGGGCTGTGACACGTTCATCTCAGCTTAGTGCGCTCCCCTTAATTTGCGTGGCAAGTTTAAAACCATCCTAAAAACGGAATCACTTGCATCTCATTAACATTCACGGGCTCTAGAAGATTTTAACGATTCGTTTAACGCTGTGGTCTTAATAAAATACCTACAATAGAAAAGCATGTTAAGTTTAAAGTTATATTTTCTCATCTTCAGTAACGACTGTGTGGCAATAAAACACAGAAAGATGGCTTTCTGCGTTTCGAAAGGCGACGTCTTATGTCAACATCACCCGGCAAGTCGTCCAAACATTCATCTCGTCACTTCTCCAAACAGCGGCCATATTGACGCACCGGTGATTATTCTGGCGCACCTGTGGATAAAACGCGACGCCATCAAAGTCAGCGAAGTGGTGTGTCCAACATCAAATGAAACGAGTTTGTGGCGAGTCACCTCAGTCTGCAGTCAGTCGTCACTGGTTCTGTTGACTGTGAGTGTTGACTGTTCTGTTGACTGTGGCCTCACACCTTATTACATGCTCTCCGCCGGGAGCTGTGCATTGTGTACCCTCTGGTGACCTGACCTTTCCAGATCAGCTGCGACACACAGGCCGCGGGCCGCTGAGGTCACCGAATAGCATACCACTGCAGTGTGACCGCGGCAGCGAGCCCGGCTGACCACAATAACCTCGACCCAGAGCCTATAGCAACACATAATGGGCTAATGTAATTCATTAGCACAGGAGTATTACGGTGCCGGCTGCAATCATCCGAATTGGCTGGGACACAGAGATAAAGCGAGAGAGAAGAGAGAGAGAGCAAGAGAGGAGAGAGCAAGAGAAGATAGAGAGATAGAGAGAGAGAGAGATAGAGAGAGAGAGAGAGAGAGAAAGAAAGAAAAAGAGAAAGGAAAAAGAGAGAGAGAGAGGGAAGGGAGAGGAAGAGTGGAAAAACAGATGATGATAGAAAATGGGAGAGAGGGAAGAGGGAAGCGAATAGAGATAGAGAAGGAGATAGAGAGAGAGAGAGAGAGAGAGAGAGAGAGAGAGGGAGAAGAGAGAGGAGATAGAGAGAGAGAAGAGAGAGAGAGAGGAGAGAAGAGATAGAGAGAGAGAGATAGAGAGAGAGAGAAGGGAGGAATCCCTATATTCTTTGAAAATCATTCATTATCTGTTTGTGCTTCGGGCTTTGCTTCATGCCTAGCAGTTTTATAAGAGGTTAAGCCCTTATATTCTTTGAAACTCATTATTCTGT